AGCAGCAACAGCAGCAGCAGCAGCAGCTTACCATCCTCCAACCCAGGTGTATAGAGCCTTGGTTGTTCGCTGCTGCAGCAGCAAAAACTTCTTCTTTGCTGCTGCTGCTGCTGCAGCGCAGCAAGAAGGCGGCTCCCAAGGCATATCCACAGAGGAAGGGCCCCCTGCTGCTGCTGCTGCTGCTGCTGCTGCTGTTGGTGCTGCTGTTGCTGCTGTTGCTGCTGCTGCTGCTGCTTTTGCCTGTTCATCATTAAAGAAATAAGAGGTATTGCTGCATATACAACACAACAAGCAAACCCTAAACCCTAAACCCTAAACCCTAGTAAACCCTAAACCCTAGCAAACCCTAAACCCTAAACCCTAAACCCTAAATACCCACCATAACCTAAGAGCAGAAGAAGCATGTTCATGAGATTGTGCTGCAGCAGCAAGCAGCAAATCTTTTGTCTCCTTTATTGTGTACCCTTCTTCCCCTTCTTCTGCTGCTGTTGCTTCCCCTCCTGCTGCTGCTGCTCCTGCTGCTGTTGCTTGTGCTGATGCAGCAGCCGCAGCAGCAGCAGCAGCAGTGCGGTGGTGGATAGGCGTTCTTACGTCGTGTGCTGCTGCTGCTGCTGCTGCTGCTGTGATTGCCCTCCATGTACGTGAAGGTTTTCGTTCCTCTACAGGCGAATTCCTTGCTGCTGCTGCTGCTGCTGCACCACCTTGCTGCTGCTGCTGTTGCTGCAGGTGACTGCCTGCTGAGCCACTGGAGGAAGGTGATCCTCCTGGTGTAACAGCAGCAAGCTTCTGGTGCTGCTGCTGATGCATGCTGCTGCTGCTGCTGTTGTTGTTAACTGCAGCAGCAGCAGGTGCAGCAGCAGCAGCAGCAGCAGCAGCAGCAAGTGCATGCTTAAGCTCATTAGGTGTTGTGTCCTCTAGGTAGCTGTCTCCGTATACATCATATTGCTGCTGCAGTTGCTGCTGCAGCAGCAGCGGTGCATGCAGCACGAATCTAGGCAGGAAGGGTACTAGCTGCTGCTGCTGCTGGCAGCAAATAAGCCATTGACTATGTATAATAGGTATATGAGGTATTGCTGCTGCTGCTGCAGCAGTACGAAAGGAAGCAGCAGCAGCAACAGCAGCAAATAGATTCTTACTTGGGTACTGCAGCACAGCAGCACCAAGAGCAGCAGCAATTACCTCCAGTGTCTCCTTAGGTGTCTCCTTATCTCCTTCTAGTATCCATAACTCCTTACCCTGCAGCGGCAAACCAGCAGCAGCAGCAGCAGCAGCAGCAGGTGCTGCTGCTGCTGCTGCTGCTGTTGCTGCTGGTGCTGCTGGCAGCAAATGCTCTACTAGTCTGTGAGGAGACCCCAACACCCTGGTAGTGCCCCGTCTTCGTGTTGCTGCTGCTGTTGTTGCTGCTGTTGTTGTTGCTGTTGCTGCTGCTGCTGTTGCTGCTGTTGCTGCTGCTGCTGCTGCTGTTGGAGACAGTAAGGAAGCAGCAGATTGGCGTAGCCTCTTAGGGGGAGGGATAAGAGCTAAAGAATCAAGGAGATCACCAATGTTGTTGCTGCTGCTGCTGTTGCTGCTGCTGCTGCTGCTGCTGCTAATCTGCTGCTGTTCCTCTTGTTGTTGCTCTTCGTGCTGCTCCTGCTGCTGTTCCTGTTGTTCTTGCTGCTGCTGTTGCTGCTGCTGCTGCTGCTTCTCTAATGCTCTTGATACAGCTGCAAGAAGAGGGTCTGGTGTCTCTGCTGCTGCTGCTGCTGCTGCTGTTGCTGCTGCTGTTGCTTCTTGTGTGCCTCTTGACGGACAAGAAGAACTCGTTTCCTGCTGCTCCTTCTGTTGCTGCACCTCTTCCTGGTGCACCTCCCCCTGCTGCTGTTGCTGTTGCTGCTGCTGCTGTTGCTGCTGCTGCTGCTGTTGCTGCTGCTGCTGCTGTTGCTGCTCTGCTGCAGTCTGTTCTATGTCTAACTTTGCTGCTGCATGAGGGAGCGTGTATACTACTAATGCAAGAACAACAGCAACAGCAGCAACAGCAGCAGCAGCAGCAGCAGCAAACCCCCAACACCCCTACTACCACCATGATGATGAGGAGGAGGAGGAGCAGGAGAAAGAGGATAAAGAGCAACAGCATCAGCAGCAACAGGAGCAACAGGAGCAAGAAGATAAATAGACTAACAATAAGTTGTTGTGCAGTAATAGCATGATATATATATTTATCTTGCCTAATAAGATGTATAATCTTAGGGAAAAGAAGAGAAAAAGAAAAATATAAATAATCTATACAAGGAATAAAATTATATCCCCTTATTGTTATTATAAATGAATAAGAAAGAGGCCATGTTATATCTACCCTGCATGCAGATCACCAGCAGCAGCAACAATAATACCACCAACAGCAACAGGAGGTACAAGATGAGAGGCACAAGCAGCAGCAGCAGCAGCAGCAGCAGCAGCAGCAGCAGCAGCAGCAGCAGCAGCAGCACATAGGTAGATATATGTATTATTTATTCATCATATGCATAGAGGATATCATAGACTGCAGCAGCAATAGCAGCAGCAGCAATAGCAGCAGCAGCAATAGCAGCAGCAGCAATAGCAGCAGCAGCAGCAATAGCAGCAGCAGCAGCAACAGCAGCAATAACAGGTGCAACACTAGAAACAGCAGCAGTAGCAACAACAGGTGCAACACCACCACCACCGCCACCATCAACAGCAACAGCAGCAACAGCAGCAACAGCAGCAGCAGCAGCAGCAGCAAGATTAACCTTGTAGCAGGTGTATTATGTATAGGTAGCCAAGGAGCATCTTGAGGTGTACGTACACCCCAATTAAGACGAATTATCTTCTTATGTAATCTAGCACGTAATTCAGATAATTGAGCAGCAGATAAACCACCCACCTGCAACAGCAGCAGCAGCAGCAACAGCAGCAACAGCAGCAGCAACAGCAAGAATAGCAGCAGCAGAACAGCAGCAGCAAGAACAGCAGCACCAACAGTTGATAGATTCAAACAGATATCAGGAAAGGAAAGCATAGAAGGTATAAAAGAGACAACAGCAGCAACAGCAGCAGCAACAGCAGCAACAGCAACAGCAACAGCAGCAGCAGCAGCAGCAACAGCAGCAGCAGCAGGAGCTTACCCTACAGAAGGGAATAACTTTAGATGGATCATCTGGATGTAAAACACCAACCAATAAATGTGTACAATGATCTAATGCATCCTCTGAATCCTGCAGCAGCAGCAGCAGCAGCAGCAGCAGCAGCAGCAGCAAGTGCAGCAGCAGCAACAGCAACAGGAGAAGGAATATAATTATGATTATCATCATCAGCAGCAACATCAACATCAACAACAGCAGCAACAGCAACAACAACAACCAAAACAGCAGCAACAATAACAGCAGCAGCAAAAGCAACAACAACAACAACAGCAGCAGCAGCAGCAGCAGCAGCAGCAGCAGCAAGTCTTACAATAATTCTATTAGATGCTGTATTAGAGAAGAAAGCACCAATAGCAATTAGATCTAATGTGTCTCCTATTATACCTAATAAGGCCTTCATCTTATACCACCCTCCTGTGCTGCAGCAGCAGCAGCAGCAGCAGCAGCAGCAGCAGCAGCAGCAGCAACAGCAGCAGCAGCAGCAGCAGCAGCAGCAAAATGGAAAAGATAGACTATATTGTAAAGAAAAAAAAAGAGACAAAAAAAAAGGAGATAATTAATTTATTAATAAAAAAAGAGACAAAAAAGAGACAAAAAAAGAGACAAAAAAGAGACAAAAAGGAGACAAAAAAGAGACAAAAAGGAGACAATTAATTAATTAATAATAAGGAGACAAAAAGGAGACAAAAAAGGACACAATTAATTAATTAATTAATTAATTAATTAATTAATTAATTAATAAAGAAAAAGGGGATAAACAAATAAATAAATAAATAAAAAGGAGACAATTAATTAATAAAAAAAAAACAAAAAAAGAGACAATAAATAAATAAATAAATAAATAAATAGATAAATAAATAAATAAATAAATAAATAAATAAGGAGACAGTTACCGTGTAGCAAATGTATATAAAGAAAGAGGAGATTTAATCATTATTCCTTCTCCTCCTTTTTGTATCTCTTTCTCTAATATATCCAGGATCTATAGCAGCAGCAGCAGCAGCAGCAGCAGCAGCAGCAGCAGCAGCAAAAGCAGCAGCAGCAGCAGTAACAATATTAGCAGCAGATGCAGCAGCTGCTGCTGCTGCTCATGCATGCACACCAGCAGCAACTGCTAGGTTGTAGACACAGCAGCAGCAACAGCATGAGCAACAACAACAACAGCAACACCAACACCTACAGCAGCAGCAGCAGCAGCAGCAGCAGCAGCAGCAGCAGCAGCACCTGTTGTTTATTGGTAACAGGATGATGTTCACAGATTTTAATTCTTGGGGAGGAAGGAACCAATATCTTACGAAGCAGACACCTGCAGCAGCAGCAGCAGCAGCAGCAGCAGCAGCAGCAGCAGGAAATAATATTGCTGCTGCTGCTGCTGTTGCTGCTGTTGCTGTTGCTGTTAATGTGTTATATTGTGTTATATATTGCTGTTTTTTTGCTGCTTCTCCCTGTGTCTCCTTTTTGTATCTTTTTTATCCCTTTTTATTAATTAATTAATTAATTAATTAATTAATTAATTAATTAATTAATTAATTAATTAATTAATTAATTTATTTATTTATTTATTTATATACCTTCTTTCTTGTAGATTCATGTTATTAATGGGGTGTATGTACACCCCATCATTATAATATAAAAGATCAAAGATTATATACATTATATAATTGTCTCCTGTCTCTCTTGCTGCTACACTCCTGCAGCAGCAGCAGCAGCAGCAGCAGCAGCAGCAGCAACAGCAGCAGCAGCAGCAGGAACAGCAGCAGGAAGGGGAGTAGAATAAGGGGCAAGAACAGCAGCATGAGGGAATCAGCAACAACAGCAACAACAACAAAAGAAAAAAAAGAGACAAAAAAGGAGACA